GCACTGAAGTGCTGGCAACAGGCAAAAAACCAAGATAGACTCAGTACTGGTAATTATCATCGTAACAGTAACAGTAACAGTAACAGTAACAGTAATAGTAATAGTAATAGTAATAGTCATAGCAACAACAACAGCACCAACGGCAATAATAGCGACAGTATCTTCGCAGGAGATGCTGGGAGCTCTGGATGCAGAGCTACCCCAGCCTCAACCGAGCATAGGGAATGACATGTGGGTGGTTGTCAAAATTATGGTCCATTTTTAGGGACCCTAGATATTTGGTACCGTACTATAATAAGGATCCAAAAACGGACCATAATTTTGACAACCGCCCATGTTTTTTCAGTCATTTTTGTTTCTTCTCGATTCTGTACCTGTGCCACCGGTCCAGCGCAATCTTTACAACAGAACACCTGCACTTTGATGTTAAAGGGGGGGGTTCTTAGCGACTGCAAGAAGTGAGCCCCTCATTGCTTGAGACCCAAGAGCCCAAAGAGCGGAATCCACCTTCTGTGCAAGAAGTCTGGCAAGTAACATTCACATTCTGAGGTATGAAGCGCCTATTGATCCAGGCAACGAATTCGTCCGTCTAAAGAAGCTTGGACGGTCGGGGTGAAGTAGCCCCTTCCTTTCCGTGCTATAGGATCTTCCCTTGGAACCACTTTGCACGTCTGCTGGTATGCACGGATGTCGTGGTTACTCAAAAGACGGGTACCTTCAGGGGCCTGTATGCACTTGGTGTTTTGAGACAGTCCCATCTAATGGTTACTGCCGGTATGGAAGGGATCACACCAGAGTGGCTAGGCTGGGCCTGTCATGGACGAGCCTCAGAAGCTTGACTTGTAACCCTACATGACCACGAACATGCTTTGTCTTTTTCAAAAGGAGCTCCATATCAGCCATTGTAGATGGTTGTTTGAGAATCAGACCTCCTTGCCAGCATCTCAATCTTTGTGATACCTCGAGCGAGCCGCAGAGCTCCAGAGCCTCTCTGGCATTTGGGACTCAGCTCTTAGCCAGGGTGGCAGCAGTAGCAAGGATATCGTTTTTTTGGATTGAGGCTTCAGGGAAGTTACAGAGGGTCGTAGGCAGCGCAGTAGGATGTCATGGTCGGGGCGTGATGGTGGCTCGCCTTGTCTTGGGAAGCGGAACAGCAGTAGCTGAAAATCACCTACCCTGTCGCTTCCTCAACGTGCTGGATGGTAGAGGCTGGCGAGGAGTAATTACGGCAATAGCAATAAGACACAATGCAGCAGTACTGTTTTAAAACAACAGTAGTAATGTCAGCTGTAATAATAGATGTCAGCTGTACTCACAGCTGGCCTGAACTTGGGCATTAACTCCTACTGCACAGGCACAAGAACGACTTGCACAACTGGCAAGTGGCTTCCTGAAAAAGGATTTCCATCGCCAAAAAGCTATAAGGTAAGTGATAAGTAAAGAGAGAAAGGTAGTAGTAGGACGACACATACATCTGGCAGCTGTACATAGATTTTAGATCTCTAGCTCGCCTATTTTCTCAGCCATTCCAGCAGCGTTTTCAACACGTTGAACTCCGTTGAACGTCAAAGTTTGCAATCTCGGCATGGAGTGCGCGATTGTAACTATTCTCAAGCCAGAGCAGATGGAAGGCAGGAAGAACCACTTGGCGACGTAAAGTGGCCCTGCCTCACTCGCGTAATGCTCCGCCTGCCTCAAAGGCCACGCGAGATGCGAAATCTGTGCATGGTGCAGGTTTGAGAAGTCCTGATTTTAGGCGTTTCTGGAAATTTGTCAGTTCTTTGTGACTTGGCTGGGCTCCGAAGTTTTTCGTCTTTCTGGCTGTGCAGTTCAGAGTGCGCTGGCTTAGGTCTTCAGGTGTTCATGCGGAGCTGATCAACTGCTGCCTGCTTTAGTTAAATCTCTCAGACTAGATATGTTCCTCAGTGTCTAGGCTGACATGTGAGCTCCAGTCGGACCTCAAGAAGACACACAACTTATATTCTCAGAAGCATGCATAGACAGCCAAATTACATCTCATCCGGGCACACTTCACTCTACGCACAGAGGCCTTGTTCTCCATTTATCCAGGTCTTTTGGGTTTAGGCTTTGGGGTCTGGCGTAGCCCCCCATTGGCCCCAGAGGCATATGCCTTCCGCCAGCTCATCGAGCACCTGCAGTGGCGCAGCGACGTTCGGTTGCCAAGACCAAGTCAGTGGTCGCAAATTCAGTAATAGTAGCAGTAACAGTAATAGTACTAGTCATAGTAATAGTAATGGTAACAGTAATAGTACTAGTCATAGTAATAGTAACAGTAATAGTAATAGTAGCTCCATGTCGTAGAGCTCATTACTGGCTCGGAGTTGTTCTTCTTCCATTTCGAGTGCGACTAAAGCCCACAAAGAAATGTCTACAATTGTTGCGTTCTAGTACCCAATGACATGGGGCCAGACCAGATTAGACTTGAAGGGTAGAGGGGATTGCGAGTGGGCGCGCAGAGGTCTTGCCTCTGCAAGGTAGCCTGGTCTTTGCTCAACCCCCACTCGAATAAAGTTTAGGGCTTAGGGTTAGGGATAGATAGGGTTGAATAGGGATATATTGGGTTTATAGTAGAGGTTGGGCAAGAATGGAGAATCCAATGGACAATGAAATGGAAACTAGGATTATAGAGTAGTGTATGGGGAGCTTTGGGCTAGGTGGTGAAAAGCCCAAGAGATATTATGACCACGACTATTAGTATTATTATTATTATTGTTACTATTGTTATGTTTTTCATTATTGGGTAGTAAAACTACAATGACCTGACCCGAGCTCACTTCACATGGTAGTCCAACTAGGAAGCAGCCCCAAATTGGATTGATTGATTTCTAAATTGGCCTTGAAATTATTACACAGATGGCCAGTCTGAGTCGGGCGGAGCTAAGTTCAGACATTTTCAATTTCTGCGCCAGCTGATGAGACCAGGCACAGACATAGGTAGAATTCAAGATCTCTCGGAGGCTACGGTATATATGCGAAGACGGACACTGCGACGCACGATGAATTTGACAGTTCTCCGAAATTTGGAGGCATCGTCGAGGTTGATCCCTCTTTCCATAGAGCACTCCATGTTCAGAAGCACGCTGCCTCACGAACTACTCAGAAAGCCCAATTTCCCCTTAGTTAGGGAATATACCTGAAATCATATTAGGGGGACCTAGTATCCTGTGGAGTATATTCCCTAATTCAAGGATGTTGGGCTTTCTGGGTAATCGCCCATGTTTCGAGTCCTCCACCCGCAGCATGGAGTCGCAAACCGTTAGCCTTGAAATTTGAAGTGGGGCGCATCAACTACACGCCTCTTCAAGGCGGACTTGCGCGGGGCTTAGGCAGGGTTTAGGGTCGGAAAAAGCTAAGATTTTTGAACTCCGAATCCCGTAGCTCAAAGCCTGAGGCCGCAGCCCTGGCCCGAATGACATGGAAATTTCAAAGAGCGTGGCAGCCACCTCTTTGTGTTCAAGCCCCCGCAAGCCTCATACTACATGTTCCCCATGTACTATAGCATGCCACCATGCGAATATGTGAGGGTGTTTTTTTTGATCTTGGGGGGAGGGGGGGGGTTGGATGAACCACAAAAAGCAACCCAGTCAGGTCCAGAATATCGACCTGATGAACCTGGCCGGGTTCTGCAGAAACTGCCTCTCCAAATGGTGCTCCATGATGGTTCAGGGATTAGGGTTTAGGG